GGGGGGGGGGGGGGGGGTAAGTAAATAATATTCACACTCAATGGAATACTATGCAACCGCGAAAAATGATGCTTCCAGAGGGTTTGGGATGACATGGGGGAAACGCTTGTGACAAAGGTCAAGGGAAAAGCAGACCACACATCATCTGGTCACAGTGATGGGGAAAAAAGAATCATGTATTAGAAAACCCACTTGTCTCTCCCTCCCTCCCTCCCCTTCTCTCCCCACCTCTCTCCCATACTTTCTCTCTCTACATATGCACACACACAAACACGCCACACATCCCAGAAGATCAACAGTAGCGTTCGGGGCAATGTAATTTTTTTTCCTATTTTTTTCTGTAGTTTTCAACATTTCTACAAGTCATTACAATTTTTATTTATTTATTATTATTATTATTATTATTTTAAAAGATGACCGGTAAGGGGATCTTAACCCTTGACTTCGTGTTGTCAGCACCACGCTCTCCCAAGTGAGCTAACCGGCCATCCCTATATGGGATCCGAACCTGTAGCCTTGATGTTATCAGCACCACACTCTCCCGAGTGAGCCACGGGCTGGCCCTCATTAAAATTTTTAAAATATCATAAATATAAACTGAAAATAACAGCTAACACTTACAGAGTCCCATTACATATCAGTCATTAAAACGCTTCACGTGGATTATTTCATTTGATGCTGACGACACCTCTAACGTGGTAGGTGCTATTTGTGGATGAGGCAAAAGAGCCTGAGAAAGGACAAGAAGCCTGCCCAAGGCTGCGAGCTGGCAGGGAGAGGAGCTGGGATTTGAACCTGCGTCTGCAACCAGGAAGCCCCAGGTGCCTCTCATCAAAGCCCACCCCAGGGCCCTCTCTCCTGCATCAGTCTGTCACCCCCGCCCCTGCCATCCTGCCTGAGAAGAGAGGCCTGTCCAGGCTGCAGGGTGTCTCTTTACCATTTGTCAGTTTTGTTGATGAGAGTGGAGACCTGCTCCAGGTACTCTTTGTCATAGACGACAATAGGCTCGGATTCATTGATCTCCACGGGGTAGAAGATGGTGTTGAGAAAGGGCAACCAGTTGATGGCAGGTGCCAAGGTCTGCAAGGGAAGAGGACAGCGTGACGCTAGCTGGGCTGCTCCTCCTTGAAGCCCAGGTCTCTAGGGCATTCTGAAGAAGGCATCACTGCTCCTTCCACCCTCTGACAAAAAGGAAAGCGCTTGGAGCTGTCTGCAATCATCAATCCGAGGCTGGCTGACTTTTGTCAGAGATGCTGTAGGAGCCAACCCCCAACACTTAGGATGGACTAAGAGGCAGCAGCAGCCATTGCTCATCAAGCCCCTCCCATTGCCAGGTGCCACTGCAGTGATTCACACGTATTCTCCCACCTGGTCCTCACTGGCCAAGCAGTAGGTACTATTATCCCCAGTTCATCGATGAAGAGACTGAGACTCGGACAGGCCTGTCACAGCTAAGCATGTAGCACTGGGAGTCAAACTGCCTGGGTGTGTATCCCAGACCTTACATACTATACATATAAGTGAAATCATACAGTATTTGTCCTTTTGTGACTGGCTTATTTCACTTAGCATAATGTCTTCAAACACAGTTGCATAACTTCTGGATGGTCTGCGCTTACCTCACCTTCCCCATGTTATTTTTAGAGTGCAGTTTTACACAATACAAGGTTTTTCAAGACTACATATACTGTGTTATAGCAAAAATGCCTGTGCATGTCATTCACTTAGATAGGTGTGCCTGGCCTTTAAGCAAGCAATCCATCGAAGTCAGCCTTACAATCATTGCTCAGGGTGCCCAAAGAGTGGTCTCAGGTCTGGCCAATTCCAAATTCTGTTCTCTGTTCCCTTGAAAAAGGGACAGTGTAAAACAAAGGAAGATAAAGATACATTGTAGATGGCCTTCATACAGGAAAATCAGTCAATGACATAAAACCAATCTACAACAAAAGATCCATCTATCACCTGTTGATTAATACCTATGATGCCCTCAGTGAGGGAGGCAGCCACAACCTCCCCACTTAACTCATCTGATGGTGCGGATGAGGTAAGGTGACTTTTTGAGATCACAGAGTTCACTAGTGACTGTGCAGGTCTAAGCCTAGGCTCACTCATCTCTCGGGGTTTAAAAGGGCAGCTCGGCTGTTGGGAACAAGGACATCAAAGGACGAGAGACTGTGAAGGCAGCTCCGGAAGGCAGTGGTGTGCTAGTAAGCAGTTAACAACCTGCTCTCAGTGGGGGTTGATTTGTATTATTTGTGGGTAACTATTCCCATCATGACAGATTGCAAACTACCCACACTGTTGGAAGAGACGTGTGCAGCAGGCTCCAGCACATCCTGCCTGCTTGGCAGCGAGATGAGCCAAGAAGAGCCCTGGGCTGGGAGTGAGCAGACCTGGATCCGAGTACCCAGCAGGAACCAGCTCTGGGACCTCGAGCCATTTTATATCCTTTCTGTAAAATAGGACCAACTGTCTCCCCTCCTAGACTTGACTGCTCTGTGACTCTTAGACCAGCTTGCTCAACAACCCGTGAGTTTTCCTTCTCCCTGGCTTGTCCTCTCTGCCTTCTCTTCCTGGCAGGAGACCTTCAGGCATGTAATCTCTGAGGCTAATCCTTAACATTTCTATGGCTACAAAATCTGGTGGTGTGCCTGTGAGATCTTTAAATAGGGCTCAACAATTAGAGCCACCTGGCTGCATGACCTGGTGGCAAAGACCCTGGGAAAATTGATAAGGTAACAAAGCTTTGTGAACTGCAGGTGACTGGAACTCTCTGATCAGATGATGAGAAATCCCTATGTACTCAACACAAATCTGTCCTTTTAGGAAGAGCAGGTGTTCTCTGCAGGCAAATACCCACAACTCTGAGATAGGGAGATGTGTGTTAAATATGAGGATTTTCACATTTTCTGTCTCTGTTGCTTTAGTGAACTCAACTTAAACACATGTGCTTAGATCTGTCTAAGGGGATGGAGATAGCTGTTTTAATTGACCAGGATATTCTGCTTGTGACTCAAACCCTCTGGGTGCACTGATGAGCTCTGTTTTCTACACGTGCAGCAAAAGAGTACTGCTGGTCACCAACCAGCCAACTCAAGTAGGCTTGAAAAGTGGGAGGGAAGAGAAGGATGCTTCAGGGCTTTATCTCAGCTGGAAAAATGAGGGCAGAGGATGGGGCTCAGTCCCAAACAGCCCCCAAGCTGTTTGTGGAAGGTTCTAGAAAGGAATGGCAATGTCCTCAGGTCCCCAGAAAAACCATGGAAGGAGGTCTGATTCATGGCTCTAAATTAGGACACTGCTGAGGGCTAGCCTGGAACCAATCTGCACTTGAGCAGGGCTAGCCTGGAACCACACTGTGAAGCCTGGAACACCTTGCCCTGAGTCACCTGGAATACAGGAAGAAAACCCAAATTTCCAGATACCAGGGAACAAGACATTCTCAGTCCCAGGGTGGAATGCATCAAATTGGTTTGGTGCTAGGGACCAAGATGATATTGCCAATAACAAAGAAATAATAATAATTACCGTAATATGTTATGCTTGTATTGTGCATATCAGTTTACAAAATGAAATCTCGTCCTTTGCCTCATCTTATCCTCTTGCAACTCCATGGCCAGGCTAGGCAAAGATTCTGACCCAGGACCCCAGGCTTCAGGGGGTCCAGGGCTTCTTTCAATGTTAGACGTAATTTTTCTCATATGCCTATTTCTTCTGGGAGACATCCCATCATTTTTGGCCTGTTCTGAAAAGACTCAGTGGCTTCAACTTAAGAACCACTATCCTTTGTGAGGGCAGGGGCTGGTCTCATGTGTCTGTGCTCTGGCACATGGCATGTACGAGTGGCCGAGCAAAGCCCCATTTTACAAGGAAGGAAACCAAGGCTGAAAGAGGTGGGTTATGAGACTTGCCCAAAGTCACACAGCTCATGGCAGAGCTGGGCCGGAGCAGTCTTCTGACTTAAGACCAGGGCTTGCACTGGTCCAGGCTGCTGCCCTTGCTAAGATCCTCCCCACCTCGGCAGCTGTGCGGCTGAGAGGGAGGAAGGGCCTTTCCTTTTTTGCTTGGAAGAGAGGAAAAGCAATGATGATAGGTTTCGGGGTAGAAGGTGGGACCCATGCTGGGCTGATGTGCTCAGGGCTGCTGTGCCTGTGCCGCCACCCTTGGCACAGACCGTGGACATCATGGCCACTGTGGGACTGCTGGGGCCCCTCTCGTGCTGAAAACTGGGCAGCTGGAGCAAGCCGAATTACACTGCACAAATAGCATCTCCCTCGACCTCCTGGCCTCAGAGCAGAAAAACAGCGCCAGATGGTGCCCAACACAGGCTGCTGATCTCCATAACAACCCCCTCGGCACCATTTACCCTGACGCCAACTTCTCCGGGACCTAAAGGGCAGCTGGCTGGAGAGAATGGAAATGCCCTATCAATGTGAACTATTATTGTCATGACTAAAGAGTCTCCAGGTAAATGCTGTCACAGAAAAGCAGCCGGGCATAGGGCAAGAGCCCAGCTTTGGAGTCACCTTCCAGCTGTATGGCAGGTAACTTTACCTCTCTGAGCCTCAGTTTTTCCATCTGTAAACTGGGAATAACAACCATCTCTCCTTCATAAGCTTGTTACAAGGATTTGATGAAGTGGGTGTAAAAAAGTGCTCAGCCCAGTGTGCGCTATGTCTGAAGCCTAGTGGCTGTCCCAGCCCATGTGGCAGCTGGCGCTCAAGTTACCTGCAGCTCGGCCGCTGACACTTTGTGGTAGATGAGCTCCTCATCCCGGCGCTTCTCCTGGGGGATGGTGATGTTGGCCAGCGCTGTCTCAAAGTCCAGGATCTGCTGCATCTGGGGCCGGATGGAGTCCTCGTCCCCCCCGCCCAGCAGCTTCCCCAGCTGCACCATGTAGTTCAGGTATCCAGTCAGCACCTGTGGGGCCAGGCACCCCCAAACTATCAGTGGCTGCCACCCACTGCCCACTGGACAAGGGTAGGGCAGGGAGAGACAGGGCCAGCTGCAGACCAGTGTAGGGGGTCGGGGCTGTGCGCTTCACCCAGGTAACCCGCCGGAATCACAGTTTCGAGAACGATCTTGATGCTGCGTCTCTTCACTGGTTCCCCACAGCCCAGGGATAAAGCCCAAATGCCTTCTCTTGGTGCACAGGTTCCCCCACGTGGGCCGGTCCCTGCTGTCCTGGCGATGTCTGTCTTTCAGTGCTTGTCATAGGGATTTCTGTTCTCTGAATGCACCTTTTCTGAACTGCCCTCTACCACTGTGTTCCCAGATCCGAATTAGGTCCCCACGTTACACTTTCTCAGCTCACCCTTCCCTTGCCACAATAGGTGGTTATGCAGCTGATTGGGAGGTTAGTTAAGTGACATCTGCCTCCCCCATGGGGCCTTAAGCCCCATGGGATGGGGACCATGGTGGTCTTGTTTGCCACCATGTACCCAGCAACAGGCACACAGCAGGAGCTTGCTTCGTACAAGCGGGTGGACAGGGACTGCCTGTCACTCATCGGGGAAGTCGATATTTCTGTGTCCCTCTAGCATCACAGAGCTGCGTAGGTGTGGTGGGGGTGGACACTGAGGAGGGAGAAACATCTTGGGGGTGGGAGGGCTGGGGATGGGAGCCACTATCTCTGAAGGGCCACACTCACCTTCTCATTTTCAGTTTTGTTCAGGTAATAGTCTCTTGAAGGTAAGCCCAGGCCAGACTGGTCCACCTGGAGAGAGAGGCAGGAATGAGAGGGAATCCCCCGTTTCCTGTGCATGTACCAATGTGGGACCACTGCACAGCCTCTACCTGCCCTGGGGACAGCTGGCACGTGGCATCAGAAGACACTGATGGGCCCATCCAGAGATGGGACAGATACATTCCTGCCCATATACATGGTCAGTCACAGGGATTCTGGGACCTTCTGAAGGGCTGGACAGAGATACCATCCTCTTTAAACACCTCCTTGCCTCAGCAAAGCACCTCTATTTCACCAAAAACTTTCCAAGTGGTTAAGAGCCACTTAAAGCTGTGTAACCTTCATCAAGTTACCTAACCTTTCTGATCCTTGGGCTCCTCATCTGAAAATAAGGGAAATAATATCTAACGTTCAGAGCTAGAATGAGGATTTAAGGAGATAGTGACAGTAAAGAGCTTGCTAAGTGCCAGCCAGGTAGGGGAGGGTCAATTCCTGAAAACTACTATTGGAGCCTTATAGCTACACCTTGACATACCTAGGGTAGGTGTTATAGTTCATTCGATTGACAAGGAAATTGCAGCTCAGACAGGTTGAGACACTTGCTCAAGGTCACACAGTGAGTGAATGGTAGAGAAGGTCTGGGACCTCAGCCTTTATGTCCACCAGCCTGAGTCTCTTGCTTCTGCATTGAGGTTGGGGCAGACCAACGTCCCCTGGGCTCCCCTGGGTGTGCTGATCCTCAGTGTGGGCAGGATCTCACAGGGAGAGATGGACTCAAACCATTCCAAACAGAGCCACAGAGGCTGCAGGGAACTAGGAAGTGGCTCCAGCTGTGCCCAGGAGTTGACATCACTCCTGGGGCCCACAATGACCAATCAGAACCTGAAGATTCATTTGTGGTGCAGTGACCCACCTACCCAGGGGCGGCAGCCTGCCCTTTCATGGTTTCTTGCTTGTAAAATTCTCACCAGAGACTCCAGAAATAACCCAGGCTCAGAAACCAGAAGCCTGCCACACCCCAACCCCAGAGCAAGTCTTCCCCATACCAGCACTTGCTAAACTCAAAACAGGAAGAGGTCATGCCCCTTCCTCTTCCTGGGGTTTCGGGCCAGCTCACCTGGATCACGTTGCTGTTGGAGTTCTTGGAGTCGGCACTGACATAGACAGAGAAGAAGGGCGAGATGCGGTAGTGGGCGGTGACTACCTGCAGGGTGTCCTGGAAGTTGTCCTTGGCCCAGGGACCTGTGATGTTCCAGCCCCCGAGCTGTGGGGAGGGAGAGTGGACGGCGGGGAGGTGATGAGGCGGCGGGGAGACCTGGATGCCAATTCTGATTCTACAGCTGACTTGCTCTGTGACCCTGGAGCACTCATCTGACCTCTCTGAGCCTCAACAGCAAATGAAAGGGATGGCCTTCATTGGGGGTTTCTGATCCATGATCCGGAGACCCACAAATGGAGCAGACTTATCCTAGACAAGTGAGACATGAATCTATGTGGCAGCTGCTCCCTGGGTCACTGGGATGGGAATAGGAAGGAGACTTTTCCCTGTATACTGTTTACTTTTTGCATATTGAATTGTGTGGATGTCATTCCTATTAAAACAAATTCAATTGTGCCTATGGAAGAAAAAGGCTCCATATTTTTAAAAGGTTGATAAGCTATGGTCTATGTTAGTCTCTCTAAAAGTTGGCATTTTTTCCCCCAATCTCCTCTGTCTTTCTTTGCTTAGCACACATTGGCACATGGGTCCTGTGCCAGACTGGGTACAGTCCCCAGTGCCTGCAGCCACCAACCCTGCTATGACTCCCTGAGCTAAGCTGAGAGGCAGGGTCCTCAAATGTGCACAGGCAGCCAGAAAACACCTACAGCCACCTTCTGTGTAAGGCGGCCTGGGACAGGCCCCCTCAGAGTCCACCCAAGACCAGCTGGCTAGTGCTCAGAAGAAAGATCCTTCCCCTGCTCAGGAGTAAGGTGGGGCGGGGCGGGCCAGAATGCCCCCCCTTCCCCCGGGAGGGCTCTGTTTCTCGTCCAAGATGCTCTGCTGGTCTTTCTGGAACATGCCTGCACCCCTCCACCCACACAAACACACCCTCTGAGGAAAAGGAAGCAGCAACATAGAGGAATATTTTTCCCGTAAATACAGCCCTTGTCCCCCACACAGATGCACAGACACACACATACAGATGACTGACATCCACAACAGATGCCGACACACATCCCCACACAAATGTCTGCACAGACATTCCTACCCACACAGAGAGAGAGAGAGACACACACACACACACACACACACACACACGCCCTACCGTCCTGCTGGGCATGCTGGCTGGAGAAGTGAGGTGGCCAGGCCCTGGGGGCACCTGAAAGCTGGGGTGGAGGCCAGATGGGCAGGCAGGCAGCACAGGCAGAGGAGGCCAGGACAGTCTGCCAAGGGACTCACCTTCTCAATCACTTCCATCAGGGGCTTGGCCCTGAGGGCCTCGATCCTGGTTTCGTTCATACATGCATGGTAGTATACTTGGGCCTTCCTCTCTGCCTCACTCACGCTGGCCGTGGAGTTTTCTGGAATGACAGACAGCAGTTTGCAGTATGCCCGTTTGCCCACTGGGTGGTCTTGGGTGAGTCCTTCTCAGAGCCTTGGTGTTCTCAGCTGTAAAGCAGAGCTGTGACATCTGCCTGTCAGGGTGGCAGTAAGGAACTCAGGCACAGTGGATATGTGAGTGCCCCTGGCAGAGCCTGGCAAATAGGAGGTACTCCTGAGGTTCAGCTGACTGCAAATAAGAGTATAGCACGTTCCTCCCCCTCTGCCCATTGGGTTTGTAGATGTGTCCCTGGGTTGGCAGCATGGGCCCCCCAGCAAGACTGTCTGCTTCTGCTGCTGGCCTACTCGTGGAAAAAACACCCCTGCCTGGTGCATGGGACAGAGACCCATTTTGGTTTTCAGATCCCAGACAACCTTTCTTGTGATAAAGACCAGAGCTGGACAGAAGCTTGAAAGGCCTCATTCATTATGAATTTACTTTCTGCTTCCTCCTTGGAAGGGCTGGGAATGTCTGCCAGACTTGCAGTCACCTCACAGGGCCATTTTCCTCCTTCCTTCCCAACCCTGGCGAGCAGCAGCTCCATCCTGTTGTGGCTTCTCAGACCTTAGTCCTGGACACCAGGAGACCTGCTCTCCTCCTCCGTCTCCTCAGGGGCCTGGCACAGACACCGCCTGCTGAGAGCAGAGCTCCTGCGTGTGCACCAGCACAGGAAGTCCCCGGCTGCGCCCGGTGAAGGTGACCACTTCTTGCTGGTCTGGTCTATCACGGCCCTACTAGGTGCCAGGGCTCCTGCTCCCGACCCCCTTGATTCCGTCTGTCCTGCTCGCTCCCCCTCTGGGGAACACTTCACTGCTCCGGCCACTCTCGCTCATTTCATATTCATTTCTCCTGGACCCCAAAACCCCTTCCTTAGCTTCCTTCAAAGATCCCCCCAAACCCCACCTCCTCCATGAAGACTTTTCTGGAAGAACTTTATCCATTCATCCACTGAATAGATACTAAATGCTTCCTCTGTGCCAGGTGGTGTATCAATTACAGAGACACAAAAGACAGCATCCCTGTCCCCAGGGAGCTTCCACATGGGACACTGTTACGACCCACTCATCCTGCAAGGCCTCTCTGTGGCCATCTTTTCGAAGAAGCTCTCCAAAACTGTTCACTCCTGAAGGGCCTCAACCCTCAGAGCACCTACTGGGTGCCAAGCACGGGGCTGGGCACTGAGAATGACAGACATAAATAAGACCCACTGCCTGCCCCCAAGGAGCTCATGGTCTCATGGTGAACACAGATACTCAAAGAGATGACCACGAGACACAGAAGTGCTCTGAACACTGCAAATGGCCACGGAGCACAGAGAAAATCACTCCCTTTGGGAGGGTGGGGAGAGGCCGGGGGCCTGCAGGGGACGTTCCATTTGAGCTGGTTCTCAAAGATGAAAAGTTGTTCACCAGGTAGAAATGAGGGGACAGGGCACGTGTAGCGGGAGCAGAGCAGTACTGGGACGAGCAAGGAAGCACAGAAGGACGTGCTGTTTGGAGAAGAGAAACCATTAGGTGGAGCCACTTAGCACAAAAGGCATGCATCATTTCCTGACCAGTCTCTGATCAGCTTTCCCAGCCCCCGCCCCATAATGCTCCCTGCCCCCTGATTCTACCATAAATAGCACCATGATTTTCACTGGTCAGAACATCAAGCCCTGGTCTTGCCAAAGACAGGGTGACAGCCCTGAAAAGGCGATGGGACCAGCCTGGGGCTAGCTGGAAGGCTGATATAGAGATAGGAGCACCCCTTAAGCAAGAGACAGAGGTCAGGGGTACACACAGCCCTGGGGATCATGGGAGCAAAGAGAAGAGGCCTCCCAGAGCGGGGCAGGGGGTGGAAACAGGAGAGCAGGGGCTGCTTCTGGCTTCTCGGACTCTGGAAGCAGAACATCAGGGAAAGCAAAGGGGGAGCCCGCCACTCCCTCACGGACCTCACCTCTCTGGCAACACTTCCCAGCAGCTAGGCCCTGGAAGCAGCGTCTCACCATCCACATCTGGCTCTGGCCATGACCCCCGAAATGCCAGGCCAGTGTTGGGGGAGGTGCTGTGTGCCCTGGCCCATGCCCCAAGGCCACTGAGATAAGAGGCCCAAAGAAATCTCCCCAGGAACAGCCTGGCTGTGCTAATTACAGCAAGTTCCAGCACCAGTCCCCATTCCCCGACCCCTGTCCCCAAGCCCCAAATCATCACAGGAGGGAGGAGGAGGGAACGCCTCCCTTGGGCACAGCCTCCCATCTCCTTCGTCTCCTTCTCCTTCGCTGAGAGGCTGCCCCTGACTGAGTCCAAACTTCCATGCTCTGAGCCCCAACCACCAGGGCGCATGCGCACTTGTTCTCCCACAGCTGTTTATTAAGCTCCTACTGTTTGGCAGCTGCCAGGAGTGTCGTGGAGGCCTGTCCGCATGAGGCTCGCACCCTGGTGGGCACCACACACAGCATTCACAAATGATCGCAAGACTCTAAGCACACACTGGGGGTGCTAGGAGGAGAAATTCCAGGAGGCTGCCCCGGGGAAGACTTGCTCAAGCTTCAGGCGGGAGGAGGAGTTCCATGTGCACCAGAAGTGAGGGCTGGGCTTGGGCTGCCTCGTCCCTATTCCATGTCTTAGTCATCCCTGTGTCCCCAGAACCAGCCCTGGACAGGCACATGGAGGCCTATAGCAACATGCGCTGAAAGAACAGGGCCCGGCGTTCACCACCAATGAGGAAGGACGCCATGCCTGGGGGACAATGAGGGGACGAGGCCAGGTGCCCACCCGAGATTCGTGTGCACAGGAAACGAGACAGGCGGGGTAGGGACAGACAGAACGCATGGGCCCCCCCAGGAGTTAGCGTCATGTCCCCTCATGTGGGTGCCACGTGTGCTCCCACTGCCAATGCAGGAGGCCCTGGAGGAAGATAAAATTCCTCTTCCTCCCTGTGGTTCCTGGAGCCCACGGGGACAGCCCCCCAGCGCATTCTCCCACCTCCTCTTCTATGTCCTCACTCGGGGGGCACCCACTACCTTGCAGGCTCCAAGAGGACAAGAGCTGAAGCAGGACAGCCAGGGAGGAGGCTACTGCAATAGACCAGGTGAGGGAAGATGGGGGCTTGGCGGGGGTTGCTGGCAGGGAAGGGGGCGAAAGGCTTCTGGGGCGGGAGCGAATCAGGAGTCCAGATGGTGCCAGGTTCTACGGCCTGAGCAAGGAGTTGCTGTTAATCGGGACGTGGGAGGCCAGGGCTGCGTGAGGGGCAGGTTTAGGAAGTAGAGAAAGTGAAGGCAGCTGTAGTCAAAGGTTCAGTTTCAGACGTTCGAAGTTTGAGATCACTACTAGACAACCAAGGGGGACCCTGGCCTGGGAGCTCATAGTTACTGTCTCGAATTGCTTTTGGTCCAAATAGGCAGTGGACTATGCAAATTTCTTAAAATTGCCTCTAGGGTCCTACATCATGCATTCTTGGCAGGGGCAAGAACGAATTCTTGGGGGGACAATTCTTGGGGAAACAAATTCTTACTCTTTTTACTCTGTATACATAGAAGATATAAACAGATACCCAGGGCACCTGTGGTATTCCAGTTTCATGGAGGGTGACGATGAACACAGCTTGAGAAACGCTGCCCGGGACCAGCGGGTCTGCCCCCCCAGCCCCTCCAGCCTCTTCTACCATCCCTCGACACCTCCCACTCCCCGTTCTTGCTCATGTCGCTGCTGTCCCTGGGGCACTGTGCGCCTGCTCCTCCTGCCTGGCACCCTGTTCCCTCACTGCCAGCTGGTCTGTTCTCTCACTTAATGCACATGTCTGCCCAGATGTCCCCCCTCAGACAGCCCATCCTTTCCTGACCGCTGTAGCTACAATAGCCCCTTTCCTCTCTGGCCCCACTTCCTACTTGATTTTTTTTCAGACCTGACTTTTCACAACCATATTATTTATTTATTTACTCATGTATTTATTTACTGTCTGTCTCCCCTGCTAACATATGAGTGCCACCAGAAAAGACAGTCTTAGTCCTCACAGAATCCCCAGCTCCAAGCACTGCTGGGCATGCAGGAACCGTACATTACGTGATTGTTGAGTGAATCAATGAATGAATGAAGTGTTCTAGGAAAGACATCACTTCAGCCTGAGCGGAGAGCCTTAATTTCAAAGTAAAATCAGGCATAGAACTTTGAATAGGAGAAGTCTGGTCTCCTTTAAGATACTTTTGCTTGTGTTTACGTCCCAGGAAAAAATTCCATGGAGGAAAAGAGGAAGCCAACAAGCCAACTGGGTGGCTCCGGATTGAGCTGGGGGACACATTTCAGACATGGTGGCACCTCCAGGACCCCAGTGGTATGGAAATCATTTGGCAGCATAGGGCCAGACAACAGGGCTCCCAACGGCCTGGCTACTTCCTTCCAGGGACCCTGAGTTCCAGAAATTTCCAGCCACTTCCCCTAAGTCCCAGAGAGGAAAGACAGCACACAGTTTAATCGGCCTGCTTCTTCCTCTGGGAGTTTTTATTGGAACACCTCTCCCACATCACTCCTCAGGGAGGAAACAAATGCCCAGGCAGGCAGAGCTGTGACTGAGGCAGGCTGTGGGGACAGGAATGACAGGGAATCCTGCGGCCTCCCTTGCTGCAGCGGGACCATGTGGCCAGCAGCATGTGAGGCCATGACTCCATCCACATCAGGACAGGACCAGTGTTTGCTTTAGATAACCACAGACTCAGTTCAGACAGTCACGACTCAGGAGCCCCATCCTGCGGGGGGAAGAGGGCAGCTGATAAAGGAGGTGGCGCCCCCTCCTTTATCAGCTGCCCTCTGCATAAAAACAAAAATAATGATGATTCCATTATCACTGGTGCCTACTGCAGGCCAGGCCGTGTGCTGAGATCTCATCATCATGCTGATACCCTGAGTGGGTATTATTGTCCCATTTCAGAGAGAAGGAAACTGAGGCCCAGGGAGGTGAAGGCAGGGCTAACAAGCGGCACGCTGGAACTGGCACCCAGGCATTCTCAAGCCTCCCTGAGAAGGTGAACTGCTCCCTCTGTGTGTGGACACAGCTGCGTGTGTATATCTTGTCATAACGATTTCCACCAGTCACCGTTGTTAGTATCACACCCAATTTTTACGCAAGAGGTTGGGTAACTTGTCCAAGTAGCTGAAGCCAGGATTAGAGCCTGAGCTCTTTCTGTTTTCCTGTCCTTTCCTGAAGGTTGGTTTGGAAACCCAGAGGTGGTCCTGAAGCCTCCCCTAAGAAGCCCTGGACACTCCCTCCAATCCTTAACTTAAATCAACTAGTCAATCAATCCATTTATTTTATCTTATTTTTTTGGCAGCTGGCTGATTCAGGGATCTGAACCCTTAACCTTGGTGTTACAACACCACACTCTAACCAACTGAGCTAACTCACCAACCCCAATCAACCCATTTAACTATTCCCAAACGTGAAATGAATGTCCAGTGCTGCAGACACCACACCAGAGAGAAAGCATTTAAGATGCAGATCCTGTCCACAGAGCACCTCTTTCCAAAAGGCACAGGAAGATGAAATTAAATTAGACAGTAAATACTGGAAAAACATATCAAAGTAAAGATACATTGGAATATTGGAATACTTTGTGTGTATTTCTCAGGGAGAATAGTGTCAGGGATAGAAGGAAGGGAAACTGCGGACTGCTCCTTTTTGGAGCTGGTGTTGCTTGAATTGTTTTAACAAGCATACATTAATTCCTATAGTATAAAGTATAGTAAACATGACAGGCACACACAATGTAATCGCAGCTCAGGCCCCAAGAGGCCCTTTGGTAGCCATGGAATACCTAATGGAGAAAGCAGGTTTGAGAAAGTCGTGAAGAGTTGGAGGGGGTGATGAGGCTTTTTAGACGGTAGAATCATCTGAGCTAAAAGCACAGCTGGAAAGTCTAAGGCAAGGCCAAGTCTAAGGGCTGATGGGGCTGACTTCATCTCTCTGATGAAGTGAGGCTACTCTTGAAAGCCTACAAGGACAGCCCACGCTGGCTGTCTGGGGGAGTGGCAGAGTGGGGTGGGAGGTGTCACCCCCCTCCAGTCAGCAGGCTGCAAAGACATGCCACGGTGGCTCCTGGCCTAGTTCAGCCCACCTGCTACGGATCTGCCTGGATTTCCTCTGAGGGGGCTGGGGCAAATTCACACATCAGGGAAATGCTTGGCTTGCCCAAGGCCACATAGCAAGTGGAGGCCATAACTGTCCTGCCCAGCCAGCTGACACAATCCTCACTGGCTCTAAGAACATCTCCTCCCCTCTCCATCTGGGAGGAAGCCCACCCCCAGGCTAGCTGGGAGCAGCTTGGGCATCACCCTGCTTGCTCCAGTGCCCATCGGCTCAGGCTCCCTTTTGAGGCCTGCTGGCTAAAACCAGCCTGGCCTTAAGCCCAAGAACGCACTGGCCCACTCACCTGCCACCTGCCCCTTCAGGGTTTTCAGGTATCAAAGCCCACAGGTGAGGGGCCATTTCTAGACTAGTTCCCAGGAGTGAGCCTGGGAGGGAGGGGACCCCAGCTTATGCCTTCTGGGGAAGCTCCTGGTCAGTATGACACAGGGGTGATCCTAGTTACAGTGTCCATCAGGCCTGGGCCAGCACTCGCCCGGCCTGGAGAGCTCAGCCAAGCAGCCCAGGGTGGAGGTGGACAACCCGCACTTCTGGTCACTGTCCTCCTACGTCACGCTGCCCTGCGGCCTCCACGTGGTGAGTCTGACTCAGTAGAGTCACTAGAGGAAGACTGCAGGTTTTGAAGCCCCACAGCTCTGGGTCTGAATCTCAGCTCTGCCATTTCCTAGGATTTCCTTCATATTTGCAAGTCACATCTGTAAAACAGGCATATCCAGCTGGCTCCATGGGTTTACCATGAGGATTAAATGCAGTAGTCTAAGTAGACAACTCAGAGTGTCAAGAGACATGCCCTGTACCTCCTTCCCTGAAAACCAGGTCCAGGGGCTGGCTGGTAAGCTCAACTGGGAGATCATGGTGCTGGTAATACCAAGGTCATGGGTTCAGATCCCTGTACCAGCCAGCCACCAATAAATAAATAAAACATTAAAAAAAAGAGAAAACCATGTCCACAGCAGTGCTTCTATAAGAAATAAAATAAGCAATAATTACTCTTTTCTTTGACCACCCAATTACTCCTTAGAGCATCCCTACTAACGATCTGAGTTAGTTCCCAGTTTACAGGTGAAGAGCTGAGGCCTGAGAAGCTGGGTGGCCTCTCTGCAGCCACACAGCTCATTAGGGAGAAGTCTGGGTTGGAACTCACCTAACACCATCAAGAAGAGCAGCTCTGTTTTGCTGAGCACTACTATGTGCCAGGCTGTGTGCTAAGCACTTTGAACATGACATGCAAGTCAGTACTCACAGTGACCTTATGTGTTAGGTGGCATCATTACCCCCAGTTTACAGAGAGTGAAACAAGTAGGAGAGAGCCTGGTTTCATATTAGGCAGCCAAGCTGGCGTGCCAGGGCTGCCTGACTTCAAAAGTCCACGGTCTGGCCTCCTGATATCACCAGACCCTGGCCCTGGGGTCAGGGACTTGAACGCATGGTTCTGGCTGTTCTGTGCCCAGTTCAGTGCAGCTCCCCACCCACAACTTGACCCTCAGGGACAGCATGGACATAAGGCCACAGCCCAGGACCGGAGGCCACTCATCGTGAGCCCTGCCATCTTGGGGGTGGGGTAGGGAAAATGAACTCAATCTTGCCACAGACCCAAGGTCTTTCTGATAAGAGCCAGCCCCAGAACCAGTGAGATCGGGACCCATAGGTGCAACACATAAGGGCCAGTTCTGAGCCTAACTGGGAAGTTAGAGGGTGTGTCCACCTTTCTTCCCTGTCCCCTCTTGGTGCTAACTGCTCCCCAGACTGTGGGCCCCCCTCCATTCTGGACTGGAGGTGTGTCCTTGGCAGTAACTTAACTTCCATGATCCTCAGTTTCTTCATCTAGAAAACAGAAACAAAAATTCCTACATCCCAGGGTTGCTGTGAAGAGTAAAGGGGCAGCGGACAGAGTATAGTGCACAGCACACAGTGGACAACCAACCAAACGTCAGTCCCTCTCCCTCTGTCCTTCAGGCCCTCACTGCTCTCTGCTCCCTGCAGGTTCTCTCCAACACGGTGGGAAGGCAGCTGCGTCCGTGCCTTATACCTGAAGGAGATGGTGTGGGACAGGGGAAAGGGCACACGAACAAGAATCAGGCAAGTCCAAGCTCTGCCACCTACTAGCCTGTCTTGAGGACCTCTCTGGACCTCAGTTTCCTCATCTATCAGATGGGGCAAACAACATCTTCCCAGCTTCCTCCCTACAGGATTAATTGGGATGACATCTACAAAGGAGCTCCGTGAAGTACAAAGTGCTGTGCAAAAGTCAAGGGCTAATAACAACAATACTGTCAATATAAACAGCCCCCACAACAGCAGGCCAGCCTAGGCAAAGCACTTTAAATGCATTTTCTCATTTAATTTTCATAGCTCAGAAGAGGCATGGTTCCCATTGTACCGATGAGAAACCAAGCCCAGAGAGGTTATGTGATTGACCTAAGATCTCATAGTAAGTGGCAGAGTCAGGACTTGAACCCAGGTCCTGGTGATTCTGAAGCAGAGAAGCCAACCCATCTGGTTATACTACCTGGACTCTTCCCCTGCCTGGTTAATGGTTCCTGCCAAGCCCTCAGCTATGTCTTTAGGCACTAGGGAAGGGATATCCCTGAGTTCCAATCTTGCAACTACAAACATTTTGCCTTTTAAGCTTCTAGCTCTGAAATCAAAGACTGCATCCCCTCTCGAAGGCACCTTTGGTAGCACAAGGCAGGCAGGGGGACATCTCAGGCTGGGGCTTTGCTGTTTCTGACATATAGAGTTCCTTCAGCCCCACCTCCACACACCACCCTGCTCTGATCCTCAAGGAGACAAGGAAGAGGCTTTGCTGCTTTGGGGCCTGCCAAGGGGTCCTGCCCAAGAGCTGCTGGGAGCCAAGGAGAAACGGTGGATATGTTTTACCTAGTAGCAGCTGTGCCTCTGGGGCTGGAGTGGGAAAGAAAGGAAAGGTCTCCTTAACCTGGTTTGCTTATTTCCCACAGTTGCCTTAAGTTCCTAATTGTCAAATTAGAATTGATTCCTATCTCATAGGAAGGCTTTGTCCCGTTTTTGGTATCTTCTTTTATTTTCCCTACTTTTGAATATCTTGAGGGTTTTCTACAAACTAAATTTAATAAATGTTTGTCAAATCAAAGTTCTGCCATTGATGAGTAAAGTGACCAGCTTTTCCAGTCAGGTAAATTGACCTGGTGGTCTCTCCCAGCACTTAAGAGTCCCAGGATGGGGCAGGGGTCAGCAGGAGCAGGAGATGGCCAAGGTCCCGGCTGCCAAGGGGTTCAAGTCAGGACCTCTATACAGCACGGCTGCTGTGATTTCATGCTAAAGGATGACACAGTGGGCAGATGGGAATTCAACAAACATTACCAGGGATACAGCTGCAAACCAGACAGACGGCTCAGAGATAAGTAACTTATTCTGGATCACACAATGAGTGAAAGGGCAGACATTCTAACCCAGCTTCACCTACTCTAAAGCCTATGGTTTTCCTGTTCTGCCAAGCTCCTCTTTTAACCAGGCATGCCTGGGTAGGTCCAGCAGACAATGCTCCTCTTTGGCCCATTCACTGGCCTCCCTACCAGGTGCTTACCGAGGAGGTGCTTGATGATGGCTTGGTTGCGTTCCCAGAGATTGCTGAAGGTCCCCCAGCGTGAGTGGCCATCAGGCACAGGGTTGGTTTTAATCCAGCCACCACAGGCGTAGCTAAAGAAGTCCTGGCAGGGGTCCACCGAGGGGTCCATGGAGCTCAAGATGGAACTGGTCACTGAGACACAGGCCTCAGTCAGGCACACTGAGGGGGTTCCTGAAAATCAAAGACAAGAGGCCAGTGAAGGGTGGGCAGGGAGGAGCTGTGGGAGGACAGTGCAGTGGTCTGGGGTCACATCCCACCCTGGCCCCAAACAGATTTGGAACTGGATGATCATGAGACCCCTACAGAGAAATGATGTCAGTAGACTTGCAATCACTTGACTTGTAAAATACAACTTCAGTTTACCTGCCTAAAATCCTTTTTATGGCTTAAAAAGTACCCAGAACCAAAGTGTTTCTCTTCATCTTTCCTTCCACAAATATTCCTTGATGCCTGACAAATTTACTCACTCATTCATGCATTCATTGATTCAACAAATTAATCACTGAGTATCTTCCAGGTTCTTTGCTGAATACAGTGTGTGTGTAGTACGGGGCATATAAAAGGCATAGTCCTTTCCTTCGCAAACAAATAATTTAGCTGGGGATCTACACATTATATAAGAAAAGTCAAAAGACAATAGTAGAAATGTCTGTCATTGATTCTACAAAGATAAACATTTACTATGTGTCAAATGGGCAAAGGAGACGGTATGGGGCCAGGACC